TGCAAAAACTTCTTTTCCATCCAATAAATTATACACCATACTCTTGTGATCACTTTGCAAAAAAAAGACAAATATTGAAAAAAACTGTAAGCTGAGGACAACTAGTAATGCTGCCAACACTGAAGCTTGAATCACATTGAAATGATCTCACACCTTCACTGGTTTCCAAAAAACTGTCATTTAGGATTTATCTTTTATCCGATCCTTTTTATAAAACAGTATAATTCTTCTTGCAGCAGAAATTTGAGTTTCCCGTATTTTAGATAGTACTGACAGAAAATGAAATTAATTGTTAGTACCTGTAAAAATGAATTGCCTGTGATGTGTTCTGGCAAATTAAAATCAGTAGTGTTTTTTTTTATGGAGTTTAAAGCTGCCCACGTAAAGTCATTAATCTTTCTGAAACAACTTTTAAGTAATAATTCATAACAAAAACAACAAAAACCAACACATACCTTTTCTTTTAGATGGCCTCATTCGTGCCTCAACGTGTTAGCACCATCCCTGAGACAACAAAGGGATGGCAAAGATATTGTCCAGAGAAGGCTAAGGCAGGTCAGAACACTGCATTTTCTTCCCAAGAGCTGAGCACATTGCTTCTGCTGCCACACAGGAGAGGCCCACACACATTACTTCCAACTTTGCAGCACAGTGCATGTTTGAGCACAGATTCAAACTACTGCCCATCATGTAAATTCTAAAAGTAAAACTGAAGTTTGATTCAGCAGCATGAGAAAAGAAATACGTATGCAAAACTGTGAACGTAAGAGAACACTCAACTGAGGGTTCCCTTCTATAAAATGTATGCAAATCTCAAATCTCTACAAGTTTTCAAGAGGAATTTAAGCAGATGTAACCAAATAATAAGAGACTAGAGCTTCACCCCTTCTAATGTAACATTTCTTAGCAAAATGGTGATGATCAGTATAAGGTCTTCCTTGCCCCAGGCTCCTCTTTGGACTCACATTCTTCTTAGGCAGTGGTCTGAAGTGCTCACCCTGGCAACAAAATGGGAAAAAAACAAAACACAATAAAAATCCTGTAGAAATACCTTCTGTATTCTTCTTCAATATACCTTCTCAGGTCTATTGAGAGGAATATTCGGTATGGCTGGAAGAAGGAAATTTATTTATAAACATAAGATACAAGACTAAAAATAGAGCATTCAGCTTTTCCTCTCCTCTAGAGGAAAAACCAGATGGAGGGAGAACAACCAATATCAAGTTGTCTCTATCCAGTGATCTGGAAGGATATGTATAAACAGAAAATATGTAAAACAGGTATAATTTAATGATTTTTCTTTGTCACATATAAACAAAATACTTGTATAAAATCAGTCCACCAGTGTCAAGTTTTTGGCTTTCCGACTAAACTCCAACTGGTAACTCACCAAATGCAGTCTCGATGAACCCAGTGTCTTTGTTTGAGATTCTACCAATTTGTAGTAAAGACAAAGCAGTACAGATATAAAATTACTATGTAGAAACAAAGAGTTGCGTATTAAGAAATATTCACATGGCTTCAAACAGAAACAAATACATTTAAAGATGCAGTCTTAGAGAATTAAATACAATGTCCGGATAAGGTTGAAGTCCTAGCTGTTTGTTATCTTTCAACTTCTGTATTATAATTCTGGCAAATTCCTCTCCTTGGCTATCTGAGGTATCAAGTAGTTGTCGGACTTTTGATGTCCTTGTAGGTTTGGTGCTTATAAGTTCATAGTCTTCTTTCATGAGTAAAAATCTTGATAGAAGAGCATCCAGTGACTGATTTAAACATGCCTCAGTCATCTGATCAATAATTTCTTCTCTCTTACTTTGGATCCATTGATGAGCTACATTCTGTTGTATGGTTTCCAAAACAAAATCTGAGATCAGGAAGAATTAAAAAAGAGATAAAAAAATAAGATCAATTAATATTATAACCATCTGATGATAAGCAGCGCCATAAAACAACGATTCGAGACAGAGCTGTTCAAAAGTTCTTTTTGGTCAGACAGTCACTTGACTGCTGTGTTGCATTTCATACTTAAAATGTTCTGATAATTGTCAAATTGTTGGTTAGAATATTTTTTTCATCTGAATCAAATTACTGTTTAAATTGGAAGGCAATTCCAAGAGGTCATCTCATCTCACATCCTACTCAAAGGAGGGCCAACTTCAAAGATAAGTAATGTGGCTCAAGGCCTTTTTTGGATGAATTTTAAGCACTTCAATAATGGACCTTCTATGGACTCCACAGTCAACCTATTCTAGTGTATGACCCAGCGTGGTAAGAAAAGACAGAAGCGCTAACTTCACTTGCCACTAGGATTTTTATTTAAGTCTAGTGAAAATGTCTCTAGTTTCCTGCACATATTCCTTAAACTGAGGATTTAAACAGTGAAGAGTTGCAGATCCTCATATACCCATGAGCCCTCCATCACAGTAAATCTAAGATACTGTATAGATGGCTGAAGAATTACAGAAATAATTTATGGCATGCTTTATTTTCATTTTAAAGACAAAAACAGTTCCACTTCCTCCTTCATACACGTCCATGTTCAATATGTGGGACTTGGAATTAAATCAGTATTTGCTGTACCTGAGGAAATCGGTGATGTCTGCAGCACACGTGATGAATTTGAAGCAACTGAAATATTCTTGTCAGATGAGGGAAGGTAACTGTATGGATGCACAAAAGGTTTGGCGCTTTGAGTTACAGAGAGATTTTCATCCACACTCTGACAGCTGAGAGAGTGTAGACCGCAAGAATTTCCATCTTAAAGTTAAAAAAAAAAAAAAAAAGCTGTAATATACCTATGTTCATTATGCTCATAAAATACAATTAATAATTAGAACGAGTTCATAAAACAAATTAACATCCTAAATTCACTTCAAATACAGCACATTATTCATTCCACTCATGTTCTGGGCACATTCCTTTGTCTTTAACCAGGGGTTGATTGTAGTTTTGAGGGCCTTGTCTTATTTTGAAAGAACACTGACACAATAAATCCAGTAGACGTGAACTGTTGGAGCTCTGCTGGACAGAAATTTGATGTGCAGACTGGAAGAGCAAAATAATTATTTGAAGTGTTCGGAGGTTTAGTTGCGAGTCAGTGTCAAAGTTAATTTATTTTGATGAATTTTTAATCTTTTCTTTAACCCTTGTTACACTACAAAAAAAAGATTCAGGTGGAGGAAAGAAATACAAAGATCAACGGTGACATTCAGTCAGACACAAATAGAAGCTTTTGGTAGTTTTCTGAAGGATCACATGCTTTCAAGAAAGCTTTGTGTTAACTTTCTGAGAAATGTTAAAGGAGGATATTTATTAGGTAGCAAGCCTAATAGTTTCTATTTTAAGATTTGTGAAGCAGAAAAAAAAGATGCAGAGTGGCAAGAGAAGAAATGAAAAATAGCTGATAAGAAATAAATTGCAGTGAATATACCTAACTCTCCATACAGTTCTCATTAAAGATTTTCAAAGTGTCACTTGACAAGGAGCTGCAGAGATGTTAATTAAGAACAAGGAAAACAGATATAAAAATTCAGATGAGCGTCTGTCATGCTTTGATGGTTTCTCATTGATATTCCATGTCATGCAGTACACTGGGAGTTAGAGAGTTAATGCTGCAGTTCTGTGGGTTGTTGGTATGTCCAGTCTGTTGGTCTCAGAAGAGAAGAATGAACTACAACTCCCAGAAGACTTTATTTTTCTGTTTCTGTTCTCCATTCCGAGGGAAAAATAAAACTGATTGGGAGTCACAAGACGTCCCTCTTTGCTCCTTGGCTGTTTCATCTACGGCATTAGAGTAAGGACTTTGGTTTTGGAAATTGTCTCCTCATTTTATTTACTAGCTTCAATTCCAATCATATTGTATTATATTTTGTTATCTTACATTCCACTGCTATATTTAGTAAATTAAGTTTTTTTCCTTAGCTTATTGCTGCTGTTTTCCTTCATCCAGGTCCATCTCCCTACACTGTCTCTTCCTGGGGCCTTCCATGGGTCCCTTCACCCCCTTGTCATGGACATTAGGCCAAACCATGACAGCATGAGATGCAATAAGATGTAGCTCCACAAACAACTCGGGATTTACAGCTGCCTGACAAATGGGGAATTCTGAAAGTGTAAGCACAATGCTGAACTGCGGAAGCACATGGCTGTAAGGACTAAGAGCAGTAATAGGAAAATATAAATGAAAATGTATTATGATCATTTAAATGAACTAGAACTCACAATTCCAAATTGACTAGAACTCACAGTAACTAGTATTTTATTTCATGAAAGGCAGAAAAAGTAAGTGGGGCAGAGCTATGTACTGTGATGCAGCAGATATCATCTCCTGCATGAATGAGAGAGGATAAGGAGAGAACTGGTATGAGCAAATAAGCTTTAGAAAAGGATTTTAAAAAGCTCTGCTTGGTCAGATTGTTATAGATCTCTAGGCAAACACAGATACAGTTAACACAGAAATATCAGAAGAGGAAATTTAGTAGCATAAATACCAGATCTAGACTTCATATGAGGCTTAGTGATTTTGAGATGAGGATAAGTAGATTATCCTGTATCAAAGCATTACATAAGAAAAGAAAAAAAATATTCTAAGATATATTAAGTACAGTTTTTATTTCAAACAGAAAACAATTGTTAAACTTTTTTTTTTTTTTTTAATATGAGATATAGAGGTCTGCTAGCCTTAGCTCAGTATCTTAAGATAGAAGAAGCACAGCAAGGACTAGCAGAATACCGTGATAAAAAGAAGCTTATTTTATAATAAGCGCTTTCAACAGAGTTCATTCAGTTTATCTAGAAAAACAAAGGATATTAAGGGGTTACTCTCTCTATGAGCCATGGGAAAAAGGGAAAAGAGCTTAAGCCTAAAGCAACAACCAAGAACAAGTGCATATAAGCTGGTTAAAAAACATAAAGGCTGCAAGTTGGAAGACTTCCTAACTCTCAAGAACAAGTTTCTGCCTAAAGTATTACCAGAAAAAAAAAAAAAAATAAAAAATCTACAGTCATTTGCTTCTGACTTAATGCCTTGCCAAACTCATTTCTTGCCAGTAGCTACCTGCGAACAGATTTTCACTTGAAACAACTGTATCTAATTTTGGCAAAGAAAGAAGACTTACTTTCCATTGTAGAACTATCTGATGAAGATACTAGCAAAGTAATAACATACTTTGTACTTGATTGTTTTATAAACCTGCTTTAATAAAATGAATGCCTGCAATTGTTAAAGAACTAACTTGACAGCCCAGGAGGCACACTTAGACACTTAGTTATGCTAAGCATAACTGATGTACAGATAAGTCTCCAAATTCTAAGACTGACTAAGAAGTATATGGAAAAATATTTTCCTTTGAAGAACCTACCAGCACAGAAACAAGTCACAAAAAGTGGCAGTATTTGTTTATACAAATGTATGACTTGAAGGAATAATGAAATTCTATAATACGGAATTATTCCATGGAAGGGATATTGTTGCATGGAAGCAGACTTAAAAGATCTAGTTCAACTGCTTGACCTCTTCAGAGCTAACAAAAGTTAAAGTCTATTATTGGGGATATTGTCCAAATGCCTCTTGAACACTGACAAAAATGGGCATCAACTGCATCTCTAGGAAGCCTGCTGCAGCATTTGATCACCCTCACAGTAAAGATGTTTTTCTTAATGCCCAGTTTGAACTTCCTTTGGCATATCTCTGCACTGCTTTCATACGTCTTGTGATTGATCAAGGACCAGGGAGCACAGCCCACCTGACACCTGTCTCTGTGCTTCCACTCCTCAAGGAGCTGCAGAGAACAATGAGGTCAACTCTCAGCCTCCTCTTATCACTGACTGGACAGTGCAAACATCCTAAGCCTGGATTAAATTTTGACTGTGAATTTTGCCAGCTTTTATTCATAAGAGGTGATAGCTACAAAAGATACATACCGATACTTTTGCAAGCCAGTGTCCATTTGTTGAAACCGTTTTATTTGTTGAATGAGAAATGATCTAGAGGTTGGCCTAGATCAGAAACTTTCCGTTTACTCAGCTGTAAAAGTACCTCAAGATGTTTAGCGTTTTTATTTTTAGAAGTACTTCACAAATGCTTAACTGAACTATCAAGAATAATAAGAAAACAGTACTGCTGCACTCATGATCTTTCAATAGGAAAACCAATGTTATGAGGATTCCTCAGGAGACAGGAACAAAAAATATAGGCTAAAATGCATTAGTTTTGCAGAGTACTAAGTTGACAGTAATAAAACACATCTCTTTTTTGACACAAACAGATATCCAGTAATCTATAGGAGGAAGTTTTCACACAGAGGGTGGTGACACACTGGCACAGGTTGCCCAAGGAGGTTGTGGAAGCCCCATCCCTGGAGGCATTCAAGGCCAGGCTGGACGTGGCTCGGGCAGCCTGGTCTGGTGGTTGGCAACCCTGCACATAGCAGGGGGGTTGAAAATAGATGATCATTGTGGTCCTTTTCAACCTGGGTTATTCTATGATTCTACTATGTAAATGCAATGGCACAATGGCAGCTGCAGTGGCAAATTATATTTATATGAAGTCATGAGTATTACCTGATGAGAGGATATTACACTGGGGAAGAGATTTGAGTCGTGATATATCCGGAGAGATACTCCGAAGAGGAAGTGCATCACAGCCTATGGAAGCAGATGTTTCCTGAAATTTTTCCAATTAATATTAATACGTTTATTAAATAAATGCATATTAAATAAATAAGAGGTTGCAATGATTTACAGAGCACTTTCCCATCACTTTCTTTTACATATGCTCTAAATACACAATTGACAGCACAATTAAAATACTTTATAAGGTGAATATTATATAAATGTATCCTGGAAGCTGTGCTCAAAAAAAAAAATGTTATTCAAAGCTGACAGTAATTTTGTGTATAAGTTTAACCACTGGTAAGAATCAAAAGAAGCAGCATTAAGAACTAAAATCTAAAAATAAATCTATATTATCCTATATAAACAAGCGACACAGAGGCATAAGGGACAGTAAGGGAGTCAGTTTCAATCTAACCTGCAGACACTGCACTGGATTCCTCAAGGGGATGGCTTTCCCACACTTAGAAGATGAACTGAACGTGACCTTATTTCTGCTTAATCAGCCTGTTATGACTATGTACTTGCTGCATTCTATTTCAGCCAGTGCACGTTAGGCCTTTCTTTACTGCACAGGAAACTAAACTGCAGAACCACCCCCTCTTACTAAGACAATCCCCTTTTAAAGTTCTAAAGATCTTAATGATGCTGACGTACAAGGGAAGATGCAAGATTTACCTCTTGAGGATTCAGTGGTATATTTAGAGATGTTTTCTCCACAACCGCTTTTTTTCCACTCCTATGGATACATTGCGATTCATACTGCGACTGAAAGAGATATGTGGCATTATATTAAATTTTTGCTTTGTTTAAGCTTGATACAAGACTAGAGGAATGTCAAATATTACATTTCTCTTAGCAAAGAAAAGCAAAGATGCTGATTTATTTGACTCACTCATGACTGTAACAAAAGCGACTTACCTTTGATCTCTTTAACAGAATTACTGCTTCCAGGATAGCTATTTCATCAAATGTTCTCAGCACTGGTTCAAGGTCTATTAAACATTCTAAACAAAGAAAGATGATTTGCTAAATGATGCAATATGGAAATTAAGTTTTCATATTGCTAAAGCTACTTTCTTAAAATAAATAAATTAGTTTTGCAAATGTATCTATTTATCATATAAAACTACTTATGTTACCAAACAGAAGTTTATTACTTTCACCTGTTACAACAATCTCACATCACCAAAACAAACCCTGTTCTGATCTGGTTTCCTCAGCAGCCTGGTTGAAAGAAATGTAGGACTGTGCCAGACTACAAGTCTTGCATTTCTGGAACGGACAGATAACAGACTTGCTATATTTCAGGGCAGACTCAACAAGTTTAGTCTTCTAAATGGGATCTAAAAACACAAGACCTCAGGATGGGTAGCTTTACTCCCACTCCAGCAGAAGTGCAAAGAATTATTAGAAGAAAATAAACAAACAAGACCCCACTGCAATATCTGGAAGAGCTGCTGTGGAGATCTGTCACCAGGGAGATGGTGATTGTTAAAGCACTGAATTCATTGGATATGGATAAGTCAAGTGATAGCATCTGCAAGCTCAACAGAGGCAGAAGCTAACATCATCTGCTTGCATAGGAAGCCACATGACAGTTTAATAAACAAGAGACAGTCTGTGTGATGCTCCCTTGTTTCCCAACGCTAAAAGCTTTGCAAAACAAAATAGCTCAAATTTTGAGGTGGATATTATACAAATATCTCCTTGAAAATATGCTATGCTCAAATCTCAGGAATGGATAACGACATATAACAACTTCTACTGCGCTTTCTATGAACTCCACCAATTCAGCAAAATCCATTTACTGTACCAGGAACCTGTGACACTGCATCCTTATTAATGTATTTTTATTGTTTTTACTGTAGTATTACTGTTTCACTGTAGGTCTCCCAGATTAGCTCCCGTATAACTGGCACTTTCAAGACATACGTTCAGTAGTGGGATTCTCGTTCTCTTGCATCACACAGAATCTGCGACTCCATTTTTCACAGTGAATTACTTTTTGATTTTAATTAAACTGCAGGTACATGCTATAAGGCTGCAGAATCAGCTGAATTACAGAGCTATGCAGAAACAGGGAAATAAGTAGTCTTTGTCCCTTCTTTATAAGGGGAACAGACAGGTTAACAAAACATTTCTATTTTAAGCATATTTGAAAAGGAAGGGGGAGGGGAGAAGCTGGGTGTTATTTTCTTTTTCCCTGTGCTGTGGTGATTGCAAAATTTCACAATCAGTGAACTTCCCTTAATTTTGAAAAAGATTTCTAACTTCCTCATTCTTTTTACGATAAAGGGAAAGCAGTGCATGTTTTCTTCAAAGACCAAATTAATTCAGGTACTGCACTAAGCCAAAAACAGTTCATACTGTGTGTCTATCCCAGGTAATTACACCTTCTGTGTGACCACAGACTTGGGCTGCAATGTTATTTTTGGGTAGCTGACATATGAAAGCAAGGAAGTACTGTGACATGTCTATTTTTTTATTTTATTTAAAAAAAGATATATTTATTTATGCACAGAAAAAAAATTAAACAGTCCTTAATTTAAAGCTATATAAACCAGACTCATACCAAAGTAAATGAACATTTAAAAAAATATTTTTAATGCAAAGTTAAAAATGCTTCAAAAGAGGACACAATTCATTTTGGACTGCAAATTTTGAACATAAAGATGATAAATCTTTTTGGTTGTCTCCATTTTTTTTCTGCAAAACCGGTCCAAATTGTGAAGTTACAAACACTTATTTCTAAGCTGTTTGATGAGCCATTTTCTAGTAAACTCAGATTTTATATAGGTTTTAAAAATAACAAACTTCTGTTCAGCAAATCTTCAAACGAAGTGCTAGGATTACTGTCCTGCCTATTTGTAAAATTAAAGTATTTCAAGTAAGACTCATTGCATTCACTTCAAGGTGAAGTTATGAGAGAGACAAGTTTTTAAGGAGCAATATACACCTCATGGGTTTATTTCAAAAAAGAACTTAAAAGCTTAGCAGATGGCTGTCCAGCAAATCCAGAATTCCCAGCTTCCTCTCAAATACTGCTGAACTCTAAGACAACTTTATTTTTTAAGTCCAGATTCTGAATTTTAATTAATACTTAAGAGGTAGTAAGATAACGGAAGCCATAATGGCAGCAGAGAAGCAAGAATCAAGATCAGTTGCAAGGTTAATAAGCCATTTTAAAGCATTGGATCAAATTAAAACGTTACATTCTGGGTGAAAGAAAAGCTTTTTGAAAGATGTATCTGACTGAGTTTGAAGACCAGCTCTCGGGCTAGAATACTGCGAAAGCTAAAAGACTGAAATGTGAGCATTCAAATAACAAAATATATTATTTGTATTGATGATGAAAGGATAAGATACTATAACTGTAGTTGATGAAGAGGATGGATGAAATACTCCTTCCATACCAGGGAGATTTTATATATGGCACAATATATAAATTAAATTAAAAATAAAAGACATGGTTAGTGATGAGACTAGGTCAGACTGACAGTTGGACTGGATGATCTTGAAGTTCTTTTCCAACCTAGACGGTTTATGATTCTATAGGTGACTACACCAACCCTAACAAGAACAAATTTCACAACTAAAAACACGGTGATGACTTCCAACCTATATTTTTATGGAATTGCTGTTGCATACAAGAGTTAGAAGTCACAAAAATATTAAGCAGCTTTTCATGTTAGGAAGAAATTGGTATGGGGAGTATATCCGGGCTCAACATACACCAAATACACTAATTAAGCATGACAAACCCAGGTTTGATTTCAAAACAGAACTTTTCTAGTTTACAACATGCCATGTTAATCTCTGCAGGCTCACTCTTCAATCTTAGGCTCTAAATTACATAATTCATTGGAAAAAGGCTGAAGGTATCTGTATTTAATCTCACAGACAAAAAACCATACAAAGAAAAGATTAAAAGCTACCTATGTGGCCTCAAAAATCAAGGATCCAGTGAAAAAGATTCATCCATGCAAACATGCAAAAATAAAGTTACAGTAGTTCATCTGATGTGCAACGATTTGCTGCTTTGCCAGCTCTTACAAAACCCAAAGTACTCGCTCTATGTATTTCACTTATTCTCCTCCCTCTTCTGAAAATAAGTACATAAATACAATATTCCAACTCCAACTAACAACTTGATTTTACGGCACATGCAGCTCCATTCATAAGAATTAGTTTATAGATAAGATGGAATCAGACAAGAATCACACACAATTAACTGAGCAGAGACGTATTTTTGATATTTTTACCATTTCCATTTAGCGATTACACCCTTACTCTATATGTACTAGATGAGACAAAAATCTGGCAATTTCAAGAACTGTATTCATTTTGCAAAGTAAACTTACTTAAGAATGATGGTCTTTCATCTGGGTTTTGTGCCCATCCACTTTCTATCAATCTTACAACAAGAGCTCGATGTGGAATGTCCATTGATAAGCTCGTTTCACTTAAGTCTAGTCGCTGTCCTTGTGACACACTATACATTATCTGCAAGGGGTTTATAACTTCTGTCAAAATAGACATCGTGCTTTCATTAGAAATATATGCAAAATAAATAGCTTACGACAGGAAAAATAATTAAGACTGCAGTCATAATATTTACATTTCACCAAAATAAGGCTGTTTCTGCTTTTAAAAGAAAAGAATTCAAAATACATTTTTTCTTACCAACATTGTAATTTGAAAAAGAGTCTAATCTGAGAATTAACTCAATTACTTCTTAAACAGGTTTATTTACAAATAGGATTGTTATGAAGCAATCCCTAAATGACGTTCCCAGGTATCCAGGTGACTGGTACAACTAACACCTAAAGCTAGAAAAATAAATTACAAGAAAACATGGTCTTACCTTCAAATGGGTGCTTCCTTGACATCACTTCCCATATAATAATCGCAAAACTGTTTAAAGTGTAAAAAGTATAGAAGACATTATTTTAGATTACCAGCACTTATTGAAACAATATAGAATCATAGAATTGCTCAGGTTGGAAAAGA